ATCGCCATTTGTGGTATTGGAAACGAATAAATGTTATTTCATCGAAGACAAATTTCTAATTGTAAACTGTTTCTATGGTCAAAAGGTGATGAGTATTTTATGATTATTTATGAAATGTACTTGCCCATAAATATTATGCTAAAAATATTAAACGGTTTATATATTATTAATTTTTGCTTATTTAATTTCAAAAGGTTTTTTTTTTTATTTTTACAAGATATTTACAATCTATTCATACATAGAATAATAAGCAAATTAGATAAGAGTATTAAAAACATGAGTAATATGATGGAAGAAGCCACCCAATGATGACACTACCTACTGAATTTCAAAAGGTAAAATATTTTTTCACAAGTTAATATGTAGTCATGTATTTTTTATTTATTAAAAAACCTTTTCATATTTTAGCAATGTCTGAAAACCAATATATTTTACCAAAATACAAATCTGGCAAATATCCTTAAAAATTGTATTGGATGACCCAATTAGGAAGGAAATGTTGTATCGTGGTATGGCAGAACAAGAAAAGATAAAAAAAGAAATGATTGACTCACCACTTATTATAAGAACTGTAATACTAGTAAAGAAACGACGTAATAAAACTAGATCTAATACATATTCAGGATACAGATGGAACATCTTATATGATTTGATGGAAACAGATGACAGCGAGGAGGGCGATCAAATATGTCAGGGGGGAGGACTGGAGCCCCAGTATACGTTTTAAATGTGACGATAAAATGTCAATCTGAATTTCAACGTACTCAACAAAAGCATATACTCAAGAAGATTTCAATCAAAACTGCTCGTTCAAACGTGCTCGTGTGAAAAAAACCGTACGAACTGTGCTAACAAACAAAACCTGCCAAGTAACAGTCGGAATTGCGCACGAAGGGTTCCGTACCACAGAATAGATGAAATTTCATCTATTCTGTGTCCGTACCATCATAGAACATTCTATGGTACCATCATCAGCTATAAACATGTTGGCAACACTGCTTATATTATATATTCTATGATTTTTAGTATATTTTGTTGTTATAGCGGCAACAGGAATACATAATCTGTAAAAATTTCAACTTTCTAACTTCCATGGTTCATGGGATGCAGCCTAGTGACAGACGGACGGACAGCTAAAAAAGCAAATATGAAGAAATCTGAAAAAGCAGAATTAACAAATTCCATCAGCGAAAATGATGATTACCTACCCAAACCATATAATATTAACAGTATTATAATAATGTTTTTTTGTTGGTGCATTTTCATAACGAGTTTCAAAATATAGTGAAATAATAATAGAGGAAACAAATTTTATAGGTGACACTAAAATGCTCTCATTGACCAGATATTTCCCGATATACACACACAATACTTGAATCCTGAGTGGCTGGCAGAAAGAGCAATTCAGAGTTTTTGAACTCATTGGATTTGCCAGGCATGCCACCACACCGTTTACAACTGAAGGTTGGATCTCCTATTATTTTGCTTCGTAATTTGAACCCGTCAAGGCTGTGCAGTGGCACGCGATTAGTCATTAAAAAATGTATGAAAAACGTTATCGAAGCCAGAATTGTTGATGGACAGTTCCGAGGAGAAGATGTATTCTACCTCGAATCCCTAATATTACCACAGGTGTCCCGATTCAATTCAAACGGCTTCAATTTCCAATGAGATTGGCATTTGCATTTCGCAATGACAATCAATAAGTCTCAAGGTCAAACGATGTCTGTTTGTGGTTTAGATTTGGGCACACCGTGTTTTTCACACGGACAATTGTACGTGGCATGTTCTCAAGGGGGTAAACCATCCAGTTTGTTTGAGTTGGCTAAAGATGGACTCACCAAAAAGTAAAAATATCGAACACTCCATTGCACTAAGATACTTATAATGTTTTTTTTTATAAATTTTCATAGTTTGTGATAAAAGTGTAATTTTAAATTTATTAGTTAATATAATAAAAGTGCAATGAATTCAAAAAATGAAAAATTGGTGTATTGTTATTTTTACAGGCCCCCATCGTTCACAGTGATCCATTCCTATTACAGTCATAAACCAGTATATCACATCCACACACACTTACAATAATTTAGTTATTTTCTATGACTACCAAAATATTCATTAGAAATAATTGATATGGCAAAACAACGTTTGCCGGGTCAGCTAGTATATTGTATACATTAATTTATTAAGTAAGACCTAAAGTGGACTGCTCACCATGTGATTTGTCAACTGGACACAGCTTACTACTCAGTACAATATGACTATTCTCACAGGGCCAGCAGTGGAAAAACTGGCTTATATTCCGCGGATACCCATAAATCTACGGAATTACCCATACCATTTAAAAGGCTACAGTCAAGATCTCTTTTGCCCTCACGGAAAAAAAATTTGAACAAGTTGATCGAAAGTGTCGACTTATTAAGAACTGGTATGACGTCCCCAGAAAGTAATAATATTATAAAACACCGACCTGCCTATCTATGACGCGTTAGTACGCCGGCATTACAGAGTGAGCTCAGAAAGAAGGAGTGCGCCTCCAAAGTGGCCTAACCCCAGAAAAATGCCCCGAAAACGTACGGCCGTATCCAAATAAAAGAGGAGTTCCTTAAGTCCGTTGTACTCAAGCCTTTCGTGAGATGGACTTAAGTATATTAAGTAGGTACCTATCTCTTTTAGACTTAAAAAAAGAAACTAAATAAAAAACATCCGTTTTTATCTATTTAAACCAGCGGTTCTTAACCTTTTGTAGATCACGGACGACGGACCCCAGATAAAAGATTTTTAGAAATCACGGACCTCCTTACCAAATTTTTTCGAATAGCTTTTTTTTTACAAAACATCTATGTTATCATAACCAAAATTATAAATTTTTTTTTATACTACAAATTGCATAAGTAGATATAACAAACATACACATTTATAATTATTTTTATTACAATAATTGTTTTATAAAAATTTAACATAAAACTATAATTGACTATGATCGATCAACTGCAGTGAATATACGACTGCCGAGACTACAGTGCTGTACTCATGTACTGTAAAATGGACAGTATTAAATTTGAATTCAATGATATAATATCATTGTATAAGAAAAACGATTCTGAGCGGAGACGGCATGTCAGTATAGGTATAAGACATAGTACATACTTATCTATGGTATTAAACAAAAAATTGACCTATAATAGGTACCTATAATAAATTTTAAATTAATCATATCACAATATCCATTAGGTACTTATAACGCGTTATACATCAATAACAAACCGTGATACTATCATAGATATATTATAATAGTGTACTTTAGAAGTTTCAAGTATCCACGGATAATATTATTCAATCACAACAAAATAACTAAAATATTCTAGGGTTTTTTAATATGTAACTTCGTCCAAATTTTATCTTAAAATGACTATAAAAATAAATTGTGTACATATATTTTTTTAGATTTTTTGGTAACAGAATTAACTACTTACATGGAATCTAGTTTTAAATTTTCAATCCTTAGATATAAAAGTTGAACATTTTATACATTTTTAACTACAAAATAATTATTCAATTTTAAATTTGATACATTTTGTCAAAATTCGATCTTTAAATGCTTATAAAAAAAAATTGTGCCTATAAATTTTTAATATTTTTCAACTACTTTTGTAACAATATATCTACAAGAGCCTTGTATTACATTTTTACACTTTTTGGCCCAACAGATAAAACTTTATTGATATTTATAGAAAAAAAAACTAAAAAAAATTTAAAGCGGTAAATGTCCGTAAATAGCTCAAAAAGAGTCAAAATATTTTCAAAATTGTATGGTGTATAGGAAATGCTAATATAAACATTCAGTGAAATTGTCATGTATCTACAGTTATTCGTATTTGAATTACAACAAAATAAGGAAATCGCTACATGAGAAATCGAGTGAACATCCAATGTTGTAAAAATTTGAATTTCAAACGCTCATAAAAATTTAATTTGACTTTCCGGTAGAGATGTTTTTATTGATAAAGGTAGACAAACTTATAAGGAATCTTGGATCACATTTTTAAAATCTTAGATTTAAAAAGAAAAATTTTTACGAATTCTTAACTCAAAATAATTCGCTAATTTTCGTGATATTTCCATATTTTTACAATTTTTGAACTTTAAATGCTTATAAAAAAAAATTGTGACTAAGGATTTTTAATATTTTTCATCTGCCTTTGAAACAATATATTAGGAGCCTTCTATTAAATTTTCAAGCTTTCGCAACCAACAAATAAAATTTTATTGATATTTCTAGAAAAAAAACTAAAAAAAAATGAAAAATGAAAATGTCCCTAAACAGTTCAAAATAAATCAAAATATTTTGAAAATGTTATCCTGTATAGAAAATGCAAATATAAACAACCAGTTAAAATTTCATGTATCCACGGTCATTTGTTTTAAAGTTACACCAAAAACCAAATTCAATTTTCTAAAAAATCGATTTTGCGTAAAAATTCCCGTTTTTCCTTAATTTTTCTTTTGTTTTTCTTGGCGCTTTTGAAAAGTACTGTGAATTTTAAATTTTGACCTCCCCAATGCACCAACGATATTCACTTTCCAATCGAACAAGATACTGAAGTCGAAAATCGAAGCATTATTTCGACTACTTATCGTGTACACAGACACAAAAAAAAAATAAAAAATAAATAAAAAATAAAATATAAAAACACACATCATTGTAAAATCAATACATTCATCGTTCTACTCAGAATCTAAAACACACATCATTGTAAAATCAATATATTCATCGTTTCACTCAGAATCTAAAAATTATTTAAAAATGTTTTGAAAACAAATGAACAGTAAAATCAATAAATGAATAAAATATATTATGTATATAAATAAACATGTTTATTTTAAAAACTTAAACTATAGTTACATATAAATAAACATTTTATTATTATATCCACTATATAGAACATTTTTTTAAGTAAGAATTATTTTTTTTAGCATAAATATTAAATGTATTCAAACTACTTATTATTTAACCTTGAATTGAATATTGCTAGTGCTTTATTGTGGGCTTCTTTGTTGTGCTTCTATAAAACAAATATAATATATAAGTATGTACAAATAATTAGTTCAAAAATCTTGTTTTTATAAAATTTAATAACAATGAGAGTGAATCAGATATTTGTAAAATACATATTATTAAAGCCCAATAGCATATTCATTATTCGTGCTCAGGTGTTGATGTTTTTTCATCTTGGACAGATTTCCTTACTAAATATATTTGTAATATATTTGTAATCAAATGAATGCTCTAAATGCAATGTATAATTATTAGGGCTCAGAAGTTCTGGGATAGTATACTAACTTTTTTAGTAAGTCTTAAAATATCAAAAGTATGATACACATTTGTTTCACACTTCCCTAATGTTGTATACAACATTTTATTTTTCTAACGTTTTTAATTTCATATAAAAAAACGGGATAAACATTATCTTAAATGTAAAAATAAATAATTAAGTTGATTTTGTAAAATCCTCATGCGAATCGAGGTGTCACATCATTTTCGTGCTTGTCTCGTGTTTTTCACTCTTGAATCTCGCAGACTAAAAAAAAAAAAAATGGTGTGGCACATCGATTTGTATGAGACAATTACAAGATAATCAGTGGTGATAGTTATTTGTTGTTATTTAAAATACATGATTAATTGACGCATTATTTTACTTTTTCAACTAATAAAAATGATAAAATAATAACAAAATTTGGATTAATAAAGTTGTTTTGAATGATCAAATTTACTGGCATACTGACATACATTGATTTGTGTGATTTAGATGTACAGATAATAAAATATGGTAACTTTTATCCTTGCTGTCTATTATAAAATAACTAATTGACCGTAATTTTTACATTAAGAAAATTAGTTGATTTGATTATAGCTGAGTTCAATACTGGAATATCCATTGAACAACACTTTAAATTTATTTTTAAGATTTAAGTTTTTAATGTACATTTTGAACTAAGGAGTACACTAACATTGAATATTCAAAATTAACATGTTTATGCCAAAGAATTACCTAAATAATAGAGATGAACTTTTGATGAGAATTAATAATGTAGCTGATATCATCTGTCAAACACCAAATTTGTTGGAGAAAACTTGGAATTCATTACATGGTCGAATCGAAAGTGCATCGAAGTTAACGGGAGTCACATACTCACATTGAACAATTGTAGATAAAAATAGGTTTTCATAATAAAGAGTATTTAATTATGATTATTTTACATTGTAACACAACTTAAATGTATGTCAGTAAATTTGATAAATTAAATTTTTGTTAACCCTAATTTTGTTATTATTTTATCATTTTTATTGGTTGACAATGTAAAATAATACTTTAATTAATTGTGTTTGTTAAATGACAACAAATAAATAGCACCACTGTTTATTTGTAATGTTCTCATACAAATTGATGTGCCACACCAATTTTTTTTTTATTCGGCGATTTGAGCGTAAAAAACTCGCGACAAGCGTGAAAATGATGTTACACCTCGATTCATATGAGAATTTTGTAAAAAATCTAACTTGACCATTTATTTTTACATTTAAGATAGTGTTCTACAAATAATTTGTATAAACCCAGATTTTGAAAATAGAAAAAAATCTTCATTGGGCCATCACACTGAGTAGTGAGTACGCCTATACTAGTTACATCATCCATTTTAGAAACACTCTGTATACTGGGTGATTCATTTAACATACAACACTCATTATTCAAAAAGTATTAATATTTTTTTACATGGTTTCAAGTAGTTAGAAAACAACATTTTTACTAAAAAATTATATTTTTATCCATAGGGGTTTTTAAGTTTTTTACTTTTATTAATTACAACATACAGTTTTAATTTGATCTTTGAAAGCAGAATATTTTTCTGTGTTTCGATTTACAAAAATTGAATTTAGGATGAGTAGTTTATGACTTTATGAATTATAACTTATATGTATTTAAGGTTTAATTGAGCAGATTAGTGGACCAACATTTTACGGCGTAACCGTGTACCACTCCACTCCACTCATCAAAACTTTAAATACTTATAACTCATAACTCATAAACAACTTGTCCTAAATTTGATTTTTATGTATTGAAATACTTAGTAAAATATTCTGCTTTGAAATATGAAATTAAAACTGTGTTATCAATCAAAAAAGTAAGAACTTAAAAAAAATTAATTATAAAAAATATTAAAGCGCATATTATGTATATATTATACAATTTTATTTTTTCAGAACTAGAAATAATGTAAAAATTGTTTTTTCAAAAACATTTATGGTTTTTTTAATAATAAGTGTTCTATGTTAAATGGGTAATCCCGGTAGAGATGACGTCATGATTTTATAAAAAGAGACGTGGTCATTACTGGTCACCCTAAATATGTCCTTAAAAATTAAATAATATAATTCAACATAGGTACGACATATTATTATATCAACTTGCATAGAAGCTACAACACAAAAGTAAAATAATTTTGATTTCACCAATATTAATTTTGAAAAATTGTGTAAATTAACTAAAAATTATCGTTTTGGCTATTTCACTAACCCAAATTAAAATAATGATGATGAAACTTTTCTTTAACAATATTAATTAATTAAAAATATAGAACATAAAATCTACCATGATAAAAATTTAAAATTAATAACTTACAATATTATTGAAAAAAATATTTAGGTTATTTAAATTTTCGTTTCTCTTCATTTTCATATGATTGAATGTCTTCAAACTGTTCATTATAATTGAAAAGTCTCTGAAATTGAATAAAAATTAAAGATACATGTATAATTTATTAGGATTTTACACAGCCACACTGATCAATAACAGTGAATTTGATTAAATTACTGATATTTAGTTAGGTAAATATTCTTAATTAATAATTAATGTAACATCTATAGACTATAGGTAATAAGTAATAACACTAATAAGTAATAACTAACTCATTGAAAAATAAGTATGTTTGTAAGGTAGGTTTGATCAAAAAAAGCATCTCAAACTTTTGTAGTATTGTTTTTAATGAATACCACAACACCTATATCAATACCAAATATATAATATTCAAATAGAAAATTCATATTTATACACACATACAAATGGGAGAGACTAATATATTTTACGACATGTTTTAATATTATAATAAAAGTAGAGAATTGTTTTGTTTATTTGTACCTCAAATGTAATGAGAAATTTAGAATTCTTTTTTACCTACCTATACCTACCTATTTAAACTATTAATTTTTTTATTTTACTATTTCTTTTTAACACATTTGTATGGAATAAGTATATTGATATATTAATTTATAACAATGAGTTACAAAAACTACAATAAATAAATTTATATGATCACCATTCACCTTGAATTATATTTATCTAAAATAATGGTTTGCCCATTTTTTTCTTCATTATTTATATTTTGACATTTCTTAATTCCATCTGGAGCAAGCAGTTTAAAGTGTATAAAATTATGTAACTCCCCTTCATTTTCCACTGAAAAATTGTAAGTACAGAATTAACTAATTAAAATAGATCCATAACATAAAGTAAAATATTTAAGGATATTCAACTGACTCATTTTGAAACTAAATAATAACTATATTGAAATAAAAAATAATAATATACAAATTATATTGATTTTTGTAGGTGTGAATACTATGCACTATGCAGTAATGCGGTATAACAATTGACAGTTAATATAAATACATTTAATCCAACAGAAATTTAAACGTTAAACTCATTAAGAAATTAAATTTTGAATTTTGGAACAATGGATGGATTGATCATTGATAAGCCGATAAGGAGTAAACATTTCCCCCTTGCCCCCGTTGACTATAAATGCCAAATGCATAGATAACATAATATAAATGGAAACGCCGCTAGGTTCGCTACCAACCCGAGTCCCGAATACCTGATAGTATTATGTTTCTATCAAGGTGGATATCCACCTTGGTTTCTATATTTCTATATTTTTTAACAGCGATTTCCCAAGGTTACTAGATAATTTTAAAATTTAAAATTTTTATTTTTAAGATTTCAGAATTTCAGATTGGCCAAACTATAACTATTGGTAATTAGTATTGGTTTTTATTAATTAGTAATTACTAATTACCAATAGTTAATAGTTTGGCAAATCTGAAATTCTGAAATCTTAAGAATAAAAATTTTAAATTTTAATACCCATGGTAATTACTAATTATGGTATCTGTATTCTGTGTTCTCTTTAGGTGATGGCTGTAGAATTATTTCAGAAAGTAATATTTAATATAGTTTTTTATTAATTAGTTAAATAATTAATTGATAAATAGTTAAAAACCGTGTTAATTTACCATGTTATATTGGACAATTAGGATATGATATCAAAAATCAAATGCCATACAATTGTTAAAAAAGTTCTCTAAAATTTTTATAATAGGTATTTTTATTGTAAACCGCTTCAATAAGCCTTATTACTTGAAAAACAAAAGTATAGTTTTTTTTTGTATAAAATTCGGATTCTCAAATATGGCATAAAAACATGGTTTCGTAATTCAAGTAATACGGCTTATTGAAGCGGTTTACAGTAAAATGTAAAAATAGTATACCTATTACAACAGTTGTAGAAAAGAACTTTTATAACAACCGTAGGAAACCCGATTTTTATATTTTTATTAATTAGTTAAATAATTAATCGATAAAAAGTAAAATTTACCATGCGATATTGTACGATTGTAATACGATATTAAAAATCGGATTCCTGACGATTATTAGAAAAGTTCTCTACAATTTTTATTATAGGTATTTTTAGTTTTTACTGTAAACCGCTTCAAAAAACCGTATTATTGAAGAATAGAAGTAGGTATAGTTTTTAATTTTTATTTGTATAAAATTCGGATAGGAACCAGGCGGCCACGGACAAAACCGGTTTTGTTACGTAAATCTGGTGCGTTCTTATTCTGAAAAGAGTATAATACAAAATATAAAATCGAACCAAATTAAATAAAATTTGTCACAAATATAATAATCATTTTCTTATCTGGTTATTTTAGTTATTTATAAACTATGTACAGACGCTCGGCTGCATTCAGGCGCGGATTCAGGAGGGGGAGGCCTCCCCCCGTAAGCTGTGTTTTATTTAGGAAAAAATGACTATTAAAAAAAATCACAACAAATGCTTGCACACCCAACATGTTGCATGTGTGTTTAAGCACAAATCAATGTACATAATACGTTCAGACCTATTTTTGGAATTGGCGATAACGATGGACGATGTGCGATTAGACGACCGTCTAAAATCTAAATTCAAATGACAAATAAAAAATATGTACATAATATAATCCACGATTATGCGTAGACTGTAGATAACTATCATATAATCTAATAAAAGTTTTCGGGGAATCGCAGCGATAATTTATTCTATGTTTCAATGTTTGCCACTCGTGATTGAGCTATCAGTAATGAATATCATCCATCGCGTCATGTTGTTTCTTAAATATTTTTTCGTATTGTCATAGTTTTTACAGTCTCGACCATTTACTATTTACCGACTTAATTTATTTATCGGACACTTAACATATTATATCAAGTTTTAACTTTTTAATATTTATAATCACTAATAGTTTTAAGTATACTAGGTATTTGGTATTTATCAATTGATAAATTGATTACAAAGTTGTATTTAACATAAACTGGTTCGTATAAGTTATTTTGAAACATACTCACACACCATTGGAGCAACTAGGGGGGGGGTGCTTTGGGTTGTTAGCACCCCCTAAAAAATCATTAGGTGTTAGGTCTCATGGAATCACAAAAAAACCTGGAGCTTAAGCACCCCCTAGTTCAAATGTCTAGTTGCGCCAATGTCACACACACAACACATAAATATTAGACAGATATTTTTAAAATTTCGTGTACCTACGGTAATTTGTTTTAGAGTTGCACCAAAAACCAAAATTGATTTTCTCAAAAACAGATTTTGATTAAAAATTCCCGTTTTCCCTTAATTTTTCTTTTACTTTTCATGGCACTTTTGAAAACTACTGAGAAATTTTTATTTTTGACCCCCCCCCCCATAGTATCAACTAGACTAACTTTCCTTTCAGAAAAGTGAATCTAGTTGAAAAAAATCTGAGTATTTACTATTTTTAGTGTCCTAAAAGGTGATGACAGACACACAAAAAAAAAACACATTGTAAAATCAATACATTCATCGCTTCGCTCAGAATCTAAAATATAATAAGATTAAACTTCAAGTTCAAGTTAGAACAGTCTGAACAGGTTAACTTTATCTGACTAACCCAAAACTGTTATAGCTTTAATTATAGGTACCTTGGTACCTATTATATATTTTACTAATTTAGGGAAATTTTAAAAATTTGATTAAAATTATGACAATTTTTTTTTTTTTGGGGGGGGTGGGGGGTACATTTGTGGTGCAGGGCCAGTTTGATTCATATTTCCAGGGCCGAAAAAATTCACCAATCCCCCCCCCGTAATCTCGGAAGGGATCCGCGCCAGGCTGTGATAGAAAACCAGTTTTTACCATGGTGCGTTATCGCGAGCTGGGTGGTGGTATGAACACCTATGTAGTATATCGCCAGACGCCAGCACTCGGAACTCAGCAGCCAGCTTACCGGCGCAGCACTTGAAGAGCGTAATTTTCTGCAGTTCTCTTATAAAACATATTTTGCGCGTTCCAATAATATGGGTTACTGAGTGGTTTAATTGTAAAAACACCTATGAATAAAATTGTAGAGGAGATTTTTATGTGGTTCCATAAGAAGCCCGATCTTTGATATCTTTAAAACATCACGAAATATATCATGATTAATAATACACTTTTTTTTTAATTTTTCAAAAGTTAATAGAAATGAAAATATCTAAAATCGGGCTCTATAGGAAACCAGATAATGATCTCCTCTACAATTTTGTTCAAAGGTGTTTTTATGATAAAACCATTCAGTAACCCATGTTAGCCATGTTATTGGAACTCGCAAACATGTTTTTAAAGGAATTTTTCGAGTGATTTTTTTCCGTGACACGTCCTCCCTTAAGTCCTTATTTAAATATTTGGGTGATAAAGAAGGACTTAATTTAATATTTAGTGATTAGTTACTAATTTGAGTTTTGACCACATCATTTTTAAGATTGAGGGCCGTATTCATAGTCGATTCTTAAGAATAAGTATAGACAGTGTAATTAAGCTAATTTTGATAATTTAAAAAATATAAAATTGTGATAATAACTTAAATCAATACTTAAGGTAGGTATCGACCAACCTTAAAAGCAAGTAATACTTTTTCTTTTCTAAAGTCTCGTTTATGAATCTCATTAACTATGAATGAGGCCATCAGTCATCAATATAAGACTAAAATAACTAATTTATTTAAATTAAAAATATTATAATTTTAATTTTCTATACCTCTGTTTTTCATGATATTAACATTGAATATTGATTATAAATACTATTTATAATCAATCAATCAATTATATTAATAACAATGTCGAAGACACCAAATACTATCAAGAAAGTTCCAGCCCATGTTCTTAAAAATCAAATCTCAAAAGTCCTAAGACTAAAATAATAAATGTGAACTCTTTTAGATTTACAGTTTGTGATAGTATATATTACCTATTACAATGATTTGATGTATATTTTTATTTTTTCTATGTTGCACAAATATAATCTAACCGGGTATATAGATGGTAATGGATAGTTAAGTTTATCTCTCAAATAGTTAGCAGTATGCTTTGACCGGCTATAATACAACCTACTTAATACTTCTCAATGATATTGCTGCAGTAATTGAGTAGTATCTTCCCCTTGCCATTTCTCTACATAACTTGTTCGTTTAGTAAAATATTTGATTTGATTTTTTGTAAGAATATAGCCAACAGTTGTGTTGATTAATATTCAAAACATTAATCTTTAAGAAATATAATTTCCTTGTCTGAACTCTGCTTGAAAGGGCTTTTCTTTTGTTTATTTCAATGTATTTTGTAGCCTAATTATTAATTAAACACATTAATTTATATTTAGTTGTTTTATTGTTAAACCTGTGTATAATTAATTCTATATTATTTATATTTTAGATTCTGAGAAGTGAGAGGAGTGATGAATATATTGATTTTACAATGAATAATGATGTGTTATTATTTTTTAATTTCTGTCATCACCGTTTGGAGCAGTAACACTGCTTTGATCTTGTTCAACAGTATCTTGTTCAGTTATTTGAAGGTAAAATTTATCTAATTAGTAATTTGCGGACATTTTCAGTTTTCAATTTATTTTAATTTTTTTTTTCTATTTATATCAATAACATTTTATTTGTTGTGCCAAAAAGCTTGAAAATTTAATACAAGACTTCTGATATATTGTTACAATAGCTGTTGAAAAATATTTAAAATGCATATAGGCATAATTTTTTTATGAGAATTTAAAGTTCAAATTTTGACAAAATGTATCAAATTTAAAATATAATAATTATTTTGTTGTTAAAAATGTATAAAATTGAAAATGTAATAATTATTATTTCCTACTTTCTCATCAAATTTATTATCTATTGTTATATATTGTGTACTGTGTGTATGTTAATAATA